TTCATCCGCAACAACCGGAGAATAAATGGAGGAAATGACCTCCCTCGGGAATTTTTGTCTGAGCTTTACCACTCCATCTGTGAGGATGAGATCCGGATTATCCCAGATCGAGGTGCTGGTACTACGATGATGGCACCAAGTCATTGGATTGGCCTAGTTCATAAATCAAGGCAAACTTCCCCATATATTGTATGTGATCTTGGTCCTTATCTTGATTACGACATCTTTGCTATTTTGTCTGGTCCTGCGATTGCTGCCATCTCAGTGATTTTTGATAATGTGGAGCAAGAAGATGTTTGGAAAACATGTATCAATGGATACCTTGCCATTGCCAAAATTGCAGCTGCATATAGCTTCGATGATGTATTAAATGATTTGGTGGTATCTCTTTGCAAGTTCACTACCCTATTGCTTCCTTCTTATGTTGATGAATTTATTGTTGCATTTGCGGAAGATGGTAAAGCTAGATTGGCCACATTGGCAGTCTTCACAATAGCAAACAAATATGGTGACCACATTCGCTCTGGTTGGAAGAACATCCTGGATTGCATTTTGAGTTTGCACAAATATGGCCTTCTTCCCACACGTCTCTTTAGTGATGCTGCTGATGACTTAGAGCCTCCTGCTGATGTGAACCCAAGGAAACCTGCGGCACTTTCTCCATCACCAACTCATGTTCCTTCTTTGGCTCCATCAAGGAAATCATCTGGCTTAATGGGCGTATTTAGCCAACTGTTATATCTTGATGCAGAAGAACCTGCACCACAGCCAACTGAAAAACAACTTGCCGAACGTCAGCAGACTCTTCAGACGATTCAGAGATGTCAAATTGATAGCATCTTTGCTGAGAGTAAATTTTTGCAAGCAGAGTCCTTGTTGCAGCTTGTTCGCGCCCTTGTGTTGGCTGCGGGCCAGCCTCGCAAAGGAACTAACTCTTTGGAAGATGAAGAGACTGCAGTATTTTGTCTAGAGTTGCTTATTGCTATCACAATAAATAACCGGTACAGAATAATGCTTCTTTGGCGGGTTGTTTATGATCACATAGAAAGTGTTGTCCATTTAACAACAATGCCGTGTACTTTGGTAGAGAAGGCTATCTTTGGTCTGCTTCGCATATGCCAAAGGTTGCTTCCTTACAAGGAAAATCTGACAGATGAGCTCCTCAAGTCTCTGCAACTTATATTGAAGCTTGATGCTCGGGTTGCTGAGGCGTTTCTTGAACAGATAACCCAGGAGGTTATGCACCTTGTCAAAGCAAATGCTATGCAGATACGATCACATACAGGCTGGCGGACGATTATATCTCTGCTTTCTTTTACTGCTCGGCATCCAGAAGCATCTGAAACAGGATTTGAGACACTATCATTCATCATGCATGATGGGGCCCACCTTTTGCCTGCTAATTACATCCTCTGTTTGAATGTGGCAGCGCAGTTTGCCGACTCCCGCATCAGAAATGTTGATCAATCTGTGAGATCTTTAGACCTGATGGCTGGATCACTTGTTTCTCTGATTAGATGGTCTCACAAGGCGAAGGAGGCACTTGGGGAGGAGGCTACTCTAAAAATGACCCAGGATATAACGGAGATGTGGCTCAGGCTGATACAAGGACTCCGAAAATTTTGTTTGGACCGGAGAGAAGAGGTTAGGGATCACGCCATCTTGATGTTGCAGGGTTGCTTGACCGGAGTTGATGGGATTCTTATCCCGAAAGAATTGTGGTTGCAATGTTTTGATCAGGTGATATTTACATTGCTGGATGAATTACTCAATCTTGCCCAGAAGAGTTTCGTGAAGGATTACAGGAGCACTGAAGAAGCAATTGTTTTGGCCCTAAAGCTCATGTTCAAAGTGTTTTTACAGTCTTTGCAGCAACTTTTCCAGTCGACATCCTTCTGCAAACTATGGTTAGGGGTATTGGGTCTAACACAGAGATGCATGAAGGTGAAATTCAAAGGGAAAAGGAGTGAGAAGATCCCTGAACTCATTCCCGAGCTCCTAAAGAACACTCTACTTGTCATGAAAACAAGTGGAATTCTGGTGCCAAGTGATCCCAGCGGAGGGGACAGTTTCTGGAAGTTAACATGGTTGCATGTCCACAATATATGCCCATCCCTTCAATCAGAAGTCTTTCCCACTAATGAATTGGAGCAGTTGGAAAAGCAGCACGTCCAAGCAGGTTGTAGTCCTCTTACAGAGGGAAATGTTCTCGTCTCCCCCTAGTAATATCACAGTTTTGGTATAGTGAAATTGACATATTCTTTGTTGGCACCATCATTAGCATAATTAGATGGTGAATTTTGCAGCTGAGAGCAGATTAAGCTTAAAAGATATATTGCAGCACCATTTGGGAGCTGCAGGAGCAAATCCAGTATCAGCTTCTTCGCTGTTTCCTTTGTGATATCTTCATCTGAAAGCTTTATAGTGCTTTCATTTCACTTTTTAAAAGGATTTATGCAGCCCTGTTGGCTGTCGATACAAGATTTAAGTAAGGGGGTTACTTAAGTGCAATTTTGTGTTGCCATCGCGGTACCTGTACTCAAGTCGGATAGTTTTTACCATTTTTGCTGTACAATACTAGCATACTAGTACAAAATAGTGATTGATAGTACAAAATATTTCGATCAGGTTGATACATAGTTTTCTTCAAATGATATGTTCCAATTAACTAAGAAATTTCATAGCCGATGTTTATTAGTTCACTGAATTTTATCAGTTTTTCAGCTGCTTTATGCTATACGGTGCTGCTGTTGGAGGATGGGTGGTAAATTCATATTCATGAAACTAGGGGTTTACATGGACCGGGTTGGTTCGGTTTTAATAAAAACCGAACCAAACCAACTATATCGGTTTGGATTGGTTCGGTTTTATCGGGTTTTTCAGATTTTTTGTTACTTAAATATTATTTTAATCTTACTTTGTTAAATTTTTGATAAGTAAATATATGTTTAGTAAAAATATAAAAAATTGACAAATATATTATTTATTAAAATATTCTTATGGGAAAATTTTCTTGGTAACACATAATAGTTATTTTTTTAGTCGTCTGACAATAATATTTTGTTGATGCACATTTTCAAGGTTAACCAAATTTAGTAATTAAATATAAAATCAATATGATACCTAAATAATAATAATCACTTTACATTCGAAAAAGATATAAGAATTTAATCGATCTTAACATATGATATGAATATGGAAGAACAAAGAGATTGACGCATTTCAGTAACACTTGACGAGAAATTGATCATATAATCAATTATTTAAGGTTAATAAATATGGAGCACTTCATATACTATTAAATATTATATCCCGCAAGAGAATCCCAAATATTTCTAGACATTTTTTAAAGAAAATTCTATATAAAATCTTAAAAGTATATACAAAAATTATATATTTATATGTCAGTTTGATTTGGATTTTTTTACTCAATACCAAACCAAATCAAACCTAGTCGGGTTTTTTAATCGGTTTGGTTTGATTTTTCGGTTTGGTGCAGTTTTCCGGTTCGATTTGTACACCCCTACATTAAACACAAAATATATGCGAAGTATAATAAAAGACTATTCCAGTCTACGTAGAAGTAGGATTAAACATTGATCATTTGGCCAAGAGTGGAGCAACGTTATCTTCCATCAGATTATAAAAATGCACTCGTAATCTTTCTTGAAATGTTGACTATTTTTAGTCAAAGAAATGAGGGACCCTCATTTTTACTTGGAATGGATTTTTTTTTAACTGTTTCGTGTATCTTCAACTAAAAAGAAAAAATCGATGTAAGAATCATATATTCCTCTTTTCATCAGTTTACAACTGTATATTAAATTCAAAATGTAGAAATTGATTTAGTAAGTCTTTGAGGAAAATTCAAGTTGAAAAGTGACTTTATAATAAGTACTTGAGAAAAATACAAGTTGATAATGTTCAAACTTGTTTCTTTGGAAAAATGATGAATCCAAGGGAAAACTTGTTTACAACTTTAACCTATCATTCACTCACTAACTACTGATACCTTAATAATTGGATTTAGTTATATGGTCAATGTAAAATAATTATATAATAACTGATCATAATATATTACTCGATCTCAATACTTTCCGGTTGTTCTCTTGATGTTTTTATGCTATTACTTGTTTCCTCTTCCGATTCCACACTTCTGTGTGCTTTTTCTGAAAGTGTTTTCTGCATTAGGCGAAGGGAAAAGGGAACGAATGAATACACAATGATCACATTTTTGGAATTATTCTCGTGCATGGATAAGTGTACTTAGTGCCACCGAAAGTTCCGGTGAAGTATAAGTATCCTTCCATCCTTAATCAGAGGTATCGGTTTCGAGCCATGAAAATAGTGTGCCTATGGTAGGAATTTACTTCTGAGCGATGAAATTTTCTGCAGCGAATTCGGATTAGTCGAACCCAAAAGCGGGTAACAAACATTAGGTGGAAATTATTTTTTTTTTAAAAAAGAGATAAGTGGGTTTAGTCTACGCAATGTGCACACACAATTGTCAATAGCTTTGATACATCAAATCAAGTATATTGGTGTGACGAAAGTCATTTTTCATGAATCTTTTTTTTTTTTTTTGGTATTTGATTGGTTTGGAAGAATATATATTAAAAATTAATGATAATTCAAGTAATGTCTAAATATCAATTGGAAAAAATTATATGAAATTAAAAGTTAGAATAGTTGAAAGAAAGATCATTTCCGCTTATAAGGGAGTGAAGTTATTTACACCCTTTTGACTTGGTGCTGGAATATTAGATGGGAACAGGTACGGTTCTTATGCACTACCTACAAGTTATAATAGTTAATCTCCTACAACGATGTAACAAGGGGATGTAGCTCAAATGGTAGAGCGCTCGCTTTGCATGCGAGAGGCACGGGGTTCGATCCCCCGCATCTCCATCTTCCTTTTTATAACTCATCTAAAGAAATATTTCAAACGCAGAAAACACAGGTCTCAAATTCTAATGAAAACATCCCTTGTCGCTTTTGCATCTCAGAAAAGAATTAACTTTCAAAATTTTGGGAATAATTGTCTTGTATCTTTTTACAATCCCTATGAATAAAATTACAGAAGTTCCTCACGCTTGGATACCAACCCCAGTGAATACTAGTGTCAATTACATCCACCTATATCTGTGGCATCTGAAATATTTCTATCTAGTTAAACTGTTCAGACTAATTCCTTCTGCTTTTCTCTCTTGAATTCACCATAATCCGAAAGCAGGCTACCATTTACTTTATTCTTCATGTTCTGCAATAGTCCTCTTAGTACCTGTTCAAAAAGGCATAGGATTGTTAATTGTCAAAGAGCTTCCTTTGTGCCTAACCTTCTTTTAAACTCCAATTTATGCAGTCGACAATAGGAGCAAGACAATGTTTTCAGAAGGGAATTAACTTACATATGTATACTGACAGCATAAAATTGCCTACTTTATTTTACAGGTAACTAGCTCCACTTATTACGGACAATTACCTCTAATTATCTTTTATGTGATCTTTTTTTTTGTTTTTGATAAGTACTATCTTTTATGTGATCTTACGTTTTATGATCAGTGTAAAGAAGTTAAACTAGAGATCAGGTTTAGCATCTAACTGTCTCAGCAACATCTCTGCGAACATCTTCCGGGACCAAAGCTAGCATTGGTGGAAGAACAAAGCTAATGCTCATCTGTAGTTGACCTCTCAGCTTACTCCGTGGTCCATTCCTGTCGGGGTAAAGAGACCCTTTTACACCAAGGGAGAACTGAGATGGCTTCAGCGCATCATCTAGCCCCTGAAGCTCCCATCTTATCTGCATAACCATGTCTTCGGCTCCATGTCATTCCATTACAAACAAAATGAATGAATAATTAAAAGAATGCGCTTGAGATTTGGCTTGATACTTACTATGTCAAGTTCAAGAACCTTAGAAACATCATGGGGAATCCCAGGTGGGTACTCGACTCCTTCGGATTTACATCTCAATCTCATATCGATAACTGGCCACACGGTGATAAATAGGAACTCTATGGGTAGCATGTGAATTCTCCACTCTTCCTGCATGGAACTAGTAGTCAAGCATATAACAATGCATGCTGAACTGCTGAATAGCAGCAACAGATTGAACAGAGAACATCAGCCATTCATTCTCTTGACATTTTAAAAGAGGAAAAAGAAACTTTATTTTTGGATTTGATGTCAAACTAAGACATTTACGCTTATTCATTTCCGCTCTTCTTGTTTACAAAATCGAGTGTACATTCAGTTCAAACTTCAAATTAAGGCATTCATCACCAACTGTCTAACCAGATAGCTCCCCAGCTATAAGATCATTTAAATTCTATGCTTGAACAGAACGTTCGTTATCAGACTGTCTATTAGAAAGGTTTGAATGTAGCATAAAACTGGAGAAGCTTTAAGTATTTCAGAGATTCAATTTTTTTAAGAAGATAACACATGACAAAAAGGTCACAGTTAGCCAACAAAGGAGTAAGCATGAGCTTATTTCTAAATGCCTAGGATGGTGAAGGTTTCAATAGAATATAAACTTAACCACCTGATGCATTTTGTTAGTAATAACAATCACAAGATCTGAGGATATTCAAACCCATGCCCCTGCCCTAACTAGGCAACAAAGAGTTTGAAATGAATTTGTGCAGGGAAAAAAGAAAGTGTTTGAGCTAACACCTGGATAGCAAACATTATTGAAAGGTTGTAATGGTGCAGAGTAGTAATACCTAAAATAGTATAGTCAGAGAACGAGCATCTGAAAAATTTGATTTCCTTAAAGATGCAAGGAAACAGGACAACCTCAATAGATGAATTGCACAAATCACTATGGAAGTAGAACTAGCATGAGACCTACCTGTTATCCCTATAGTTTTGTTTGCTGAAGTACATTCTTAACTTTGTTTACGGCCAGATATTATGTTCGTCAACAAGAAATTCAAGTTTTCACTTGAACTACTGAGGTTGGGAAGCATATACAAGACGAGTCTAATGTTCATCGACATACTATCAGAGGCCAAGAGGTAAACAAGGTGACTTTCATGGGATAATGGTCTTATGAAAAAATATAATGAATGCGTATCTTCATGTTTAAGGCCTGAAAACTGAAGAGCAGAAATTCAGACAAGTGATGCGTTGGTGCTCAATTAGCATTGCATAGTACACAAAAAAACAAAAATGCAAAGGGGATTAAAAAGATGAATTGGCAATTCATGTTATGTAAATGGACCTTCAAACCTAACTAAACTCTAAAAAATAACTCATGATGCGAGGATTATCTGAGACCATGCACTTGCAGGGAACCAATACCTCAACCAACGTGAGATAATTAATACTCGCTCGAACACCTAGAATTGAACATCTGGTGCTTGGACAATATAACATGGCGGGTCCAACATTATGTAAACCAAGAATATGGATGGGTCTGGTACCATATTAAGAAAACGAACCGTGCCCGCTAGGGTTGGATGAGTTGGTTGGTGAGTGATTTCCCACATGGGAGACCCGGGATCGATTCCCCCGACCAGCAACCTCCTCAGTCAAAGCTCGTCGCACCGGGCTTGCCTAGTGCGATTTACATCTTCTATGTGGTTTGTGAGCTATTGCACAATGAGCAAGTTACCCAGTGCACACCTGAAGGGTAACAACTATGGGTTTTCCTGAGAATTTTCCAAGAAAATGAACCGTGGGCTACTTAACTCCAAAAATTAGCTCTTGAGTTGAGGATTGCATAAAACAATATAAGGAGACAACAGTCCATTCCCTCAACCAATGTGGGTGGCTTAACAGTTCAGGAGTTAGTGATGACTTAACAGTTCGGGAATAAGTGATGAATACCTCATTGAGTTGCTGGCTCCTTCTTTTGTCAGGAAAAATGGCCTTGAACACTCGAGGCTTATTCTCCAGATATCGATCAAAGGAAGCCTGAAAATTCAAATTTTCAACTTGCACTATTAAAATTCTGAATCACTGAATGCGCACAGTAAAGCACGATTTTTTGACAATACATGAAGTAGATTTATAAAGACGGAAGGTTAGGTTGACATACAAGGATAATCAAACTATAATACAAATTAAATGATTCATACAGCTGACACACTTAATTGAGTTTAAGATATAGTTAATTGATACGTATGAGACAGATATACAAAATTGCATATAGAAGAGAAATAGAAAACGTAGTAGCAGAAAAATAGTACCCCAGGGATTTCATAGAGAGGAATATCAGTGCTAATTCTAGAAGAGTAAGTTGAAGCATTTATCATCTGGGATTTTCCAGTTAATGGCTGTAACTTCCATTTCTTGCTCTTTTGCTTTGCCTGCGAGAACAAGAATCCTCCTTTGGGCACGAAAAAACTGTTGTGACAGTATGAACATGATGTGTGAGCAGCTGTAATCTTTCCCATTCTTTAATTTTTGTTTTTTCTCTTTGATTAGTTAATTGATTACTCTAGTTTTTGATGGTTTTGACAAGGACTCCATTGAAATTGAGGAGAGAAATGGACTGTTGGAAAAGGAAAGAGAAACAAGATAGGGACAGAGAACCATATCTACATGCGGCTTTTTTGCTCTGATTTGGCAACCTGTCAGTGGTATGAGAGATGAATATGGGTCCACAACTGCAATTCATCAAAACGCTTTCTAATTTGTCAATCTCACTGCTCTTTCCTTTTCAATTTACATGATATAATCTTTTTTATTAATTTGTTCCGAACAAAATAATACTTTAATATATTTTTATAACTTTAAAATTTCTATCTTTTGTCGAAAAGCTTTTATGGCTATACAAATAGTTTGTCTCCACAAAGTTTTTAACTCGTTAAGCTTTTAGGACTACACATTTCAAGTTTTTTTCTTTCTTTTCTTAAACTTAATATCAAGTCAAGTTATCTCATATAAATTGAAACGGAAGGAAAGTATTAATGTATCTTCTCTCGTTTCTATTTGTATAGCATAGTTTGACTGCACACGAAAATAAAGAAAGATCTTTGAAATTTGTAATCTTATATCGTAATATTTGTGTTGCTATAAGATTTTTAAAACTTGTGCACTCCAATATGTCATAATATTTATGTGCGGCTATAAAACTTTATCATTAAGGGCAAAATTAAAAAATTATAAATTAAAAATACGTATTTCTTTTTTAACAGGAAAGGAGAAATAGATTTTCTCAAACATATTTTTACCTACCATAGATGAGCCAAACTTTTAACGAATGGCTAAGTTAGCCCTTTTCGTAAAGTACAAGAACAAATTTGGATTTTCCCCTATTATTTGTTATCAAAATATTATATTGTGGATGTTCATTTATTACTCCGCTATAGATAATTTTCCTGAAGAAGATTATCCATTTAGTACTCTGTTGAAGTTTATCTACAAGCAGCTCATGCAGGCAGGTTGCAAGCAACTCAATGAAATGATTTGCAGCAGTTTCTTATTAAACAGGTAAGTTGCAAGCAGCTCATGCAGACAGCTTACAAGTAGCTAAAGAAAAGCCTTGCAGCTGCTTCCTTTCTTCTATAAATAGAGAAGTTCTCAGTTCATTATGAACATAACTTTAAAAGTTGAATAAAATATCAATCACCCTCTATACTTGTTTTCAGTTTATTTCTTTTATAGTCTTTATTTTATAACACATTATCAGCACGAGACTCTGTCATTTTTAGCACTTACATCGAATTTAATTTCTATTTCAGTGTTCATCTCCAATATAAGGCGACATTCTTATGTCCGTGGTCAGATCTTGTTCATTCCGAGCATCATAAGGCAGATTATATCCTTGAGGTGGTGGGTTTTTCTTCTTGGCAGTAATGATGTAGATATCACTTACATATGGAGTGGCCAAATTTGCGTAATTTAATTTGAGCCTTTTGCTTATATTTTAATATCATTATCATCGCTTGCTTGGTTATATGTTACGTATACAGTACCTATTTTGGTATTTGTTTTCATCCTTATTATCTTAATAAAGGATTACAAAGTGGATACCATTGTTAGATCCACTTAAACTCCAGCAGAGTTTGCAAGAAATATACAACCACCAGAAGTGGTTATATTTCATATATCTCATTGTAACTAAATTTTGTTAACCACCAGAAGTGGTATATGCCTATGACCATCAGAAGTGATAATTTAGGCTTTCTATGGTTACAATTAAAGATAAGCTAGAGAAATATTCTTTATATTACATGCACGCCTCGATTTGCTCCTGAAGTAGTAAAAATTTTAAAAGAGGTTGAAACATCACAATTTGATGTGATTAATGTGCGTTCAGATAATTATGTTCGATTTCCTAAAGGATGAGAATTTTTGATAAATATTAATCTATTCCCGAAAGTGAATGTGATAATATTAATAAAGTCATAAATATGAACACGCTCTTATTATAAATATATTACAATTCACCTCCAGAAGAGTTAATATGATTGAGAGAATATATACTCAATATTTCGTATTTTAAATTTGCTCCTGAAGAAGTAATACAATTGAAATTTCCTCCTGAAGTAGGAAACTATTTTGAAGTAGTATCCATATGTGCTTAAACAAAATAATGAGCTATTCAAAGTTATTTTTGAATCATATTTTCATTCCCTGGAGTAAATGAAGAAATATCACAACTCACCTCCTGAAGAGGTAGAATAATAGAGGATATAAATATTATTTTTATAGCATAAAGATTATTGCCACACGTACTTGTTGTACATAAAATATCTTGGATAATTTTACTAAGTATCAAAAGCATTCTTGTAGAATACTTTCTACTACAACCACATTAATATATTATGGTTAGTTATTGAGTTCCCCGAAGGAAATAACTACTTGTGTATCTTTCCTTAAAAGATGCAATGACTATGTGGTTACCGTATTGATACAAAATATTCAGATGTTAATGATATTTCTCCCTGAAGGAGATATTTGTCATAAAGTTAATGGTAGAAATATTAAAATTCTTAATTTTCGTTATTTATAAATTTAGAATTAGCTTTATGTTGTTCATTTGATTATGATTTTCTCTCATGACACCAGAAGTATCTGAGCAATATTTGGTAGTACAACAAAAGCTCTTGAAGAGCTAACTGTTTGTCTAGAAGACACATGACACAAGTAGTGTCTGAATAATATTTGATTGTGGACAATAAATGGAAGGTTCCCGAAGAGATTATTTGTCATTATTGTGGTCAAAACATATTTTATGATAAACCGAAATTTACTAATACATATGACTATCATACTGAGACTAGAAATGATTAAAAGATTAAAAATCTTTATATTTTCACAATCATATGGGGTAAATATGTATGTGACAATATACCAGAAGTTTACTAATGCAAAAGCAGTCACAGTAAATCAGAAATTTACTGATACAAAAGTAGCCACAGTAAATCAGAAATTTACTGATACAAAAGTTTATGCCATAGTAAACCAAAAGTTTACTTAGAGATAGCACATGCCATGATAAACTTGAAGTTTTTATTTCTCATTTTTAAATGAGCTATTTGAGAATTAAGATAAGCATATACTAAAGAACTAGAAGATTCTTCAAGAATTTTCTTGTGTTGCTTGTTCTCATAATAACTTGATTATACCAGCTAAAGTTGGGACTAAAATTTTCGAATTCTGGAATATATAAAAGGTGAATATGGGCTCATTCACCTATCATGTGAACCACTTATAGATGCATATATAAGATGGTTACATGTATGTTTATTATCAACCTACAGTTTGGCATTTGAAATTGTCTTTCTCAATTAAGAGCATAATTTTTAGATTATGAAATCAAGATAGTTCATCTTGATGATGCTGGTTTATATCCAAGCTAGTTTAGCATTGAATACCTCCTATTAATGGCTAAACTATTATTTATGAGAATAAAGCCTCATGTGTTGGTCTAAGATTTTCTAAATTGCATACAGCAGCACTTGTATGCATCAAACCAACAAAATATGATAAGTCCTTCCCTCACAATTGGTTTAGGATAAAAAATCAAATATTTTTACTATCTAATAACTTTTGATGTGTAGTATATGATTAATTTCTCTACCACAATGCACAAAGATATGTTTCCCAAAGAAGATTGGGGATATGAGTTAGCTTTTCTAACATTTGGGGGATGGAATAAAACAGCTGGAAAATATGTTATATGAATCGAATTATCATTAATATGGTCCTTGCTTAGAAGATAATTCAAGTCAAATGCCAGAAGCATTTGCTGATCCAAAATTAAATATCATATTTCACCTGTAAATGCTCCTATTAAAATTAAAGTCCCTGAAGGATAGAGTTTACTGTACGCAAGAAGCGTGTTAGACCAATCGGTTCCAAAGGTAACAATCCTTGAAAAGAATAGGAGCAAATGATCAAAATGATCATAATAAGGAGGAAATAAGCTCTGGAAGAGCCCACGACATAACATTTCATGAAACTCCAGAAGAAGTTCAGGTACCTGAAAATAAAAAAAAAGTGATGAGATCTCAACAAGTTATGTCACTTGCAAACTGATACGAAATGATCGTCGACGATATATTTGATACAATATAGTACACAATATTGTAAAAGATTGTGAGGATCGGACCTGTAGTCCAGACACCTGAAAATGTCATGCCATTTAAATGTAAGTCATAACCTATATGACTCATTTGATTAATTCTATATGAAGATCCCTGAAGGATTTAAAATGCCTGAAGCAAATTCAAAATCTCGAGAAATGTATTCAATCAGATTACAAAGATCTTTGTACGGTTTAAAGCAATCTGGGCGCATGTGGTATAATCGCCTTAGTGAATATTTATTGAAAGAAGGTTACATAAATGATGTTATTTGTCCATGTATTTTTATAAAGAAAATAGCATCAGAATTTGTTATACTTGTTATTTATGTTGATGACATAAATCTTGTTGGAACTCCAGAAGAGCTCCAAAAAGCAATTGAATATCTTAAGAAAGAATTTGAGATGAAAGATCTTGGAAAGACAAAACTTTGTCTTGGTTTGCAAATTCAACATTTAGCAGACGAGATCTTTATCCATCAATCTGCCTATACATAAATGGTCTTAAAACGCTTTTACATGGACAAAGCGCACCTATTGAGTACACCAATGATTGTTCGATCACTTGAAGTAAATATGGACCCGTTCCGAACTCCAGAAGAGGATGGGAAACTCCTTGGTCCTGAAACACCCTATCTCAGTGCAATTGGTGCACTTATGTATCTTGTTAATGCTACAAGGCCTGACATAGCATTTTCTGTTAATTTACTAGCAAGATATAACTTTTCTCCTACACGAAGACATTGGAATGCGATTAAGCATATATTGCGATATTTAAATGGAACTCTTTATATTGGTTTATTTTATGCTAACAAAGGTAGTGCAGATCTTGTTGGTTATGCAGATGCAGGTTATTTATTTGATCCCCATAAAGCTCGATCTCAAACCGGGTACGTATTTACATGTGGAGGTACTATCATATCATGGCGCTCCACAAAGAAATCTATTGTTGCTACTTCTTCAAATCACGCTGAGATAATATCTATTCATGAAGCAAGTAGGGAATGCGTATGGTTGAGATCAGTGATTCATTTCATTCGAGAAAAATGTGGTTTGGAATGTGATAAAAGATCCACAATTTTATACGAAGACAATGTTGCATGCATAGCCCAATGAAAGGGAGGATTTATAAAAGGAGATAACGAAGCACATTTTACCAAAATTATTCTACACATATGATCTTCAGAAAAATGGTGATATTGATGTGCAACAAATCCGTTCAAGTGACAATCCGGCAGATTTGTTCACTAAGTCTTTGCCAACTTCAACTTTTGAGAAGATGGTATACAAGATTGGAATACGGAGACTCAAATATTTGAAATAAGGTTTTCATCAGGGGGAGTGAAATACGCACTTTACGCTTTTTTCCTTACTAAGATTTTTTCCCATGGGGTTTTTCTTGTAAGGTTTTTAATGAAGCAGCTAGAAATGCGTATTACTAAATATGTATACTCTTTTTCCTTCACTAGATTTTTTCCCACTGGGTTTTTCTTAGTAAGGTTTTAACGAGGCACATTATCTTTTAATGAACATCCAAGGAGGAGTGTTATGAAAATATTATATTGTGGATGTCCATTCATTACTCCAATATAGATAATCTTCCTAAAAAAGATTATCCATTTAGTACTCTGTTGAAATTTATCTACAAGCAGCTCATGCAGACAACTTACAAGTAGCTCATGCAGGCAAGTTGCAAGTAACTCAATGAAATGATTTGCAGCAGTTACTTATTAAACAGGCAGGTTACAAGCAGCTCATGCAGACAGCTTACAAGCAGCTAAAGAAAAGTCTTGCAGCTGCTTCCTGAAAAGCCTCGCAGCTGCTTCCTTTCTTCTATAAATAGAAGAGTTTTCAGTTCATTATGAACATAACTTTGAAAGTTGAATAAAATATCAATCTCCCTCTATACTTGTCTTCAGTTTATTTCTTTTATAGTCTTTATTTTATAACATTATTTAATTTGTAACTCTTTAAGTTATTATTTGATTTGACATAAATACAACTTGGGATATCCAAAACTGCAATAACTATAGGGGTATTAAGTTGTTAAACCATACGATGAAAGTTTGGGAGAGGGTGATAGAAGGGAGGATGAGGAGGAGTATGTCCATTTCCCAAAACCAGTTTGGTTTCATATCGGGACGGTCGACTACGGAAGCCATTCACCTTGTGAAGAGATTGGTTGTCCAGTACATATGAAAAAATTGACTTGCATATGGTGTTCATTGACCTAGAATGTGCCATTAATACTTAAAGGTAAGTTCTACATAGTAGTGGTTAGACCGACTATGTTATATGGGACAGAGTGTTGGCTAGTCAAGAACTCCCATGTCAAGAAGATGAAAATTGCTGAAATGAGGATATTGAGATAGATGTGTGGGCATACTAGGTTAGATAAAATTAGGAACGAAGTTATTAGGGACAAGGTGAGAGTGCCCCCTGTGGAGGATAAGATGAGAGAGGCGAGGCTTCGATGGTTCAAACCTGTTAAAAGGAGAAGCAAAAATGTCCCGGTCAGGAGGTGTGAAAGGTTGTCCTTGGAGGGCCAGAGGAAGGGTAGATGTAGGCCAAAGAAGTCTTGCGGAGAGGTGATCAGGCGGGACATGGCGCAACTTGAGCTAATCGAGGACATGACCCTTGATAAGAGGGTATAAAGGTTGAGAATTATGATGGAAGGTTAGTAGGTAATCGAGTGTTTCCCTTCGTCTTCCTTAGTTCAGTAGTATTAGTGTTAGTATGGTATTATTTTATCCTTATATGGCTATTACTACATATCTTGTATTGTATTACTTGTTATAAGTGCTTCTTTCATCTTTTATTTTGTTATCTTAGTCTCGAGTTTCTAAATATCTTGTATTGTTATTACTTACTATCAGTACTTCTTTTATCTTTTCTTTAGCTGAGGGTCTATCGGAAATAGCCTCTCTACCCATCCAGGGCAGGAGTAAGGCTACGTACATCCGACCCTCCCCAAACCCACTAATGAGAATATACTAGGTCGTTGTTGTTGTTGTCTGTGGGGAGTATGTACCCTTCAACCATAGTAATATGACTAGGGTGTTTGTGTTTGATTTGGTAGGTTTTGCTATATTAAAAATTAAAAAATTAATTTATAGGAGTACACAACAAGTTTTGGATTTTTTCCTTTCCAAAACTAGACACATGAATCAATTGACGAAATTAAGAGTAATTCGTTTATGTTAACAAACTAGTACTAAAATAGTAGCAAATAGATAAAAGAGTTTTCGTATTTCATCAAATGTACAACTATTTCCAAGTGTGTATAACGTGATGCCCAAATCTTCTATTTATAAAATGATATTAAAGTAATACAAGGGATGTCAGAAATACGATATTAACTATTGAGATCACGAGGGAAGATCATAGAAGAGGTTATGAAGGTGTGAGAGTTACAACCATATATAATGGTGAAGAATAATGGTGAGGTTATTTACATAATGGAGAAGAGTAGTGAGATTTATATTTATGTAGTCGACATCCATATAAATAATATATTTCATAACATCCCCCCCCCCCCCC